AGCGTCAATACTAAAATCCTGTAAAATTACAAGATCTGAGAGCCGTTGCACCCGTGATAGTGGTACATAAGCCGAAGCTACTTCAACCGTTCCAGGTGGCATATTCAAGTCAATGACTATTTTTGGCAGTGTTTGACCTTGACTTTTGTGAGTTGTAATGGAGTAGGCTGGTATAAGTGGTAATGCTTTTCTTTTCACAGATACGCTAGCTTTAATCTTTCTATTCTTGAACAGCTTCATCGCGGCTCCTTTATCACTATACAGTTTCTCAAGATCGACATCGAATGTTTTCTCAATTACAGGAATAGGGACGACGAGTGGTTCGAGTGAATCTAGTTGACTGATTTTGGACTTCGCTATTTCCACCAAAGCATATTGAGCATTACGTATAAAGACAGTGTCAGACGTAAACGCTTCTTCATTCGAGCCGGTAGTGCGTTCTGACATGTGATCATAAATTAACTCGCGGAAGATACCTTGTGTGGCATTTGATAGACCAAGTTCACAAGCAATATTTTCTTGCAATAATACAGGCATACCTGGTACAAGAGGCAGATAGCCAGGCAAATGTTCGGTTTTGTTGTCGGGCAGAGCAAGAAGACGTTTTTTCAAGTCGGGCAAATCGACATGTTTCTTGGCTTTTATTGTATCGGTGGCAATCACAACGGTCGGTACTCGACCCATTTCATATGCTTTGTTGATAACGGCCCGATTGTTCAGTTCTGTTCGAAGTTCATTTCGGTAAACAAGAATTGGAGCCTAGAAGAATACATTGATAGAGAAGAAGAAAAAACGACCGCTTCTCTAACGTACCTCGTTCCATGGTGGATCATTAAGAGAAATGTGAAGCTCTATACCAATTACACGCGTTCGAAGTAGCTGCCAGTCTTCATATGTGCCTTCACCATAACGGACTCTGTTCAGCAGAGCTCTATAAGCCAAGTCTTTCGTTCTCATCTGTTCCTCCAGCATAACAACGCAGTTTATCTGTAAGACCAATGCTCGAGCACTCCTTTGTTGAATATCATTTTCAGTAGGTATCCTCCTGCTTTTTTGTGTACCGTCATTCATTGCAGAAGTAAAATTGTAATAAAGTGGCTTGTCAAATACTGGAGAGTATTGAATATAGTCACCAAAAAAAATGATATTTATACCACCCATCGTAGACATAGGATCACAATGTTTAGCTGTTGCGACAAGTTTGTTCAAACGAGCCAATAAACTGAGACCGACCATTGACATTTCATCAAGAATGAGGTACTCAACGAAACGCCATGCATTTTCTAATGTTATTTGCCCAGGACGATTCATCGCTTTTGATTTACTTTTCCGATTGCGTCCTTCGCCAAGAAAGGAATGAATTGTCATCCCTTCAATCTCTGCCGCAGCAACCGACGTTGGTGCAAGTTTTCTCAATTTATGTGTACGGTTTGTTTGTGTAAAATAGGCAGTTACAGCACGAATCAACTGAGATTTTCCTGTGCCGCCACAGCCGGGCACACACATAATCAATTGCTGTTGTTTATCACCTGTAAAATGGAAAAGTTACGCAATAATCTTCCGACTTTATCATCATACCTTCGTTTAGTACATCCAATCCATCTAGATGACCAGTAATAATCATAAACGCAGCCTTTTGATTCTTGTTTAATGTAAATTGTGCTGCTATATTCTCGCGTGTTATTTCATTGGGTACAGCAATTTTAGTAGCTGGTATAATATTTGTTGAACTGTAGGTCTCGTTGTTATTATTGAGATCTGAAGATATATTATCTTCGATAGGCGGAACCAATCCATTGTCAGCATTGTCAGTATTCTCGATATGATCTTCTTGCAGACGTTCACCTATGCACGCGTTTCGTATTCGCTCTTTTTGCTCTTTAATCTTGCGTTGCCATGTGTTATTCAATTGAATTAATTCACTAGTTGCAGGCACTATATGTTCATGGTCATATAAAATTTCTTTATCGACTTTGGATAAATATGTGAAACGATTTGTTGCGTTGACGTGAGAATCTACAAAGGATCACTAGCTATGACAAATTCCGATAAAAGAAATCATCTTACTTTGAATATTGGCAAATCGATTCGCTCGATCGACCGCCTTCACTATTTTTTCGAAGTATGTATGCTCTACTTTGTTTGTATTGCCATTCACAACAGGAATGTCGGTTATGTCAATGGCTTCCAAAATGTCAAGAACTTCGGTATTTTCGTCTTCACTATCACTTTCAACGTGATGGGAATAGTATTCGTTGCCGCTCGTTTCAGTTTGTACAGCTTCAATTACCTGCTGTAGATGCTCATCCCGATCAGTTTTACATTCCTGAAGTAGTTGGATGTTATTGATGATTTCCCATGATGACGGCGAAATTTTTTCCTGGTGACCATTAAATGCCTCTTCCCATGATTGATCAACATGACATAAATCTTGAAATGTCCGCCAAGGCAGGAAGAGTGTGAGGATGGACCGACAGTAACGTTCGCTTGTATCTTCTCGATCTTTACGAGGTATTGGTGCACCAAGCAGAACTGGGACGACTGTTTTTATTCGTTTTATGTTTAAATGTGAGGCAGATTGCGGATGGCCAACTTGGAAGGTTTCTCTTTCGGACGGTGGTCGACCGCGTTGTATTTTTTTTGCCTGAATACTTTCCGATCGTAATAGAGCTTCTAGTATTTTTCGATCCTTGGCGTCAATGAGTTTTTTTCGATATAAGCTGACATAATCATATAAACACATGTTGTCGAGAGCCGCAGAACGATATTAATAGTCTACTCTAGTGTTCACATAAGCATACTTGTTGGCTGTGTCAGTGGGTTGAATTAAAAATTGTTCTTCGACTTCAAACCAGTTTTCGTCAGTGTCAGCATCTGCTGTATCTATCAAACGAGATGAAAAACATATTATAAAATGGAAGTTAATCTACTAGTCAGTTGAAATTTTTCATGATTGCTCATGCACGGTCTGATATTCTAACAGGAAAAAAGCGTATTCTATTTAGTCAGCTACTGATTTCTTTATATGGTTATTGTTTTAAATAATTATTCTCGTACGTGCGCTTATGTGTCATATAGAAAACTTTTAAAACCTAGCTTTCACCCTCAAGCCTGAAATCGTTTACATAAAGATGAAGGGTACTAGTCATAACAGAAAGTGTTAAATATTACTTGTTGCTTGCCGCTGCTCTTTGATTCTAGCTTCCAGTAGCGTCGATTGTAAATAATTTTCAATACCAATGAGAAACAGGTTGACAAAGTCATGCGTTGTATAATGATCAGGCCAACCCATAAGATAAGAAGCCACTTGCACTCCAGATAATTCTTGCTGCGATGCAAGTGTATTATAGCAGCGTAGTACGAGTCGACGCGATTTTTCCTCTACGTTAACATTGACATCTGTACTAATTTTCTGCTTTTCGAAGGACTGAACAGCTTTTAGTACTAGTGAAAATGTGTCATGGAATGAGAGACTAGATTTTGTAACATAATCTGTGATATAATACACTAATGCCTTCGCATCACTGCCACTGAAAATATACTTGATGTCCATGTTGGAACGGCAAGCACTGATAATATATTCGTTAAAGTTATTAATTGTTTCGTGAAGTCTCTTCAATTTAATTTCACCAGATTCAACATTAATTGATGATGCATCCTGAATCCGTCGTGGCATCCGCATACGACATACAGGATTATCGGATTTTTTCGAATATTTATAGCAGGTGGCGGTGTGGTGATGGATATTATGGGCCTTTACTAGCTGTACAATGTCATCTTTGAACTTGAAGACAAAATCTGGCATTGATGGTTTTGGTGTTGGCATGATTGATGACACAAGCTTTAGAGAACCACTTTCATTCACACTGGATTCTGAAGCNTTATTGTTTTAAATAATTATTCTCGTACGTGCGCTTATGTGTCATATAGAAAACTTTTAAAACCTAGCTTTCACCCTCAAGTCTGAACTCATTTACATAAAGATGAAGGGTACTAGTCATAACAAAAAGTGATGAACATTACTTGTTGTTTGCCGCTGTTCTTTGATTCTAGCTTCCAGTAGCGTCGATTGTAAATAGTTTTCAATGCCAATGAGAAATAGATTGACAAAGTCATGCGTTGTATAATGATCAGGCCAACCCATAAGATAAGAAGCCACTTGCACCCCAGATAGTTCCTGCTGCGATGCAAGTGTGTTATAACAGCGTAGTACGAGTCGACGCGATTTTTCCTCTACACTCACATTGACATCTGTACTAATTTTCTGCTTCTCGAAAGACTGAACAGCTTTTAGTACTAATGAAAATGTATCATGAAAGGAGAGACTGGATTTTGTAACATAATCTGTGATATAATACACTAATGCCTTCGCATCACTGCCACTGAAAATATACTTGATGTCCATGTTGGAACGGCAAGCACTGATAATATATTCGTTAAAGTTATTGATTGTTTCGTGAAGCCTCTTTAATTTAATTTCACCAGATTCAACATTAATTGATGATGTATCTTGAATCCGTCGTGGCATCCGCATACGACATACAGGATTATCGGATTTTTTCGAATATTTATAGCAGGTGGCGGTGTGGTGATGGATATTATGGGCCTTTACTAGCTGTACAATGTCATCTTTGAACTTGAAGACAAAATCTGGCATTGATGGTTTTGGTGTTGGCATGATTGATGGCACAAGCTTTATAGAACCACTTTCATTCACACTGGATTCTGAAGCTGGTAGCTGCCGTTGTCCAAGAACTTAAAAATTAATTAATTGACAAATATGAGTGACTTATTGAAAAAGGGTACTTCATCTTCATTTTCAGCCACATTTGCACCGAACTTACTCAGATCTTGCTTGATGATATCTTCTAGGTATTTAAGAAGGCCACGACGAAAATCTTCGTTTTGAACGGATTTTTTTAACTGAGAAGGTGTTAGACCGTGATCAAGCCACATCAGAATATGTAAATGTAATGAGCCTCTTCCTTGGTTTTCAACTGTACCGAAGTAAGCTTTAATAGGACCCAGTACACCCTTTTCAATCATGCACTTGAGAATAGAAGAAATGAGAACATTGAAAAAACGAGCCGTAGCCACTGGATGCGAAGCTACAATCTGAGCACGCTCGTATGTTGATGGAATTGTTTCCGGTATAATTTTATCGAGATCAAGGTCAACACCGGCGAAATAGAGAGTAACACGACTGTGAATGTCAGCAGGATTTATTGTCATAAATATGCTGGGTAAACCCTGGTTGAAGATTAGTGCATGAATCTGAGTGCGAAGAGCTGCTCGTGAATAGGCAGAGCCCATAACATTTCCACCTACGGTTTTGATTTGTCTCATAATCATATTAATTCGTGGATTTTCTACAGCAGAAAATGTGTTCTTGCTAATGGCCATCAAAGCAGCCTCGATTTCTCCACTTGTCAGAGTTTGAAGATCGTTAGCAGCATTTTGAAAATAGGGTCGAGAAGCCATGAGAGTTGCATTCCAACAGGCTTGTCGTCTTTGCATTATATTGAAAATAACAAACATAAATGAATGATGCTTTTCAAAACGTTGATCATCGTATGCTAATAAATAACGGATATGTTGCTCCAGTGTCACCGCAACTGGTCTTGATGAATCCTGAGGTGCGCCATAACCATAAGGGAAAAGGGTTGGGTACAAGCCGAGAAACAGCTCTGGATTGAAGCAATCGTTGATTGGCATGTTGGATCTTGGGATCATATAGACATCGTCTTCATCCTCATTGGATTTACTGAGCATATCAGACGACACATTGGTCAAACCCTTGTGAACTTTACGCAGTAAGTGTACGCCGATATCTTCCGACGAGACCATTGTTCCATTAGCATCCAACACAGCACTGATATAAATTAAAATATTATATCCAAGTCTACTTATTTCATAGGTGAAATTTACCTAGGATTTATTCCACAAATATTCTCGGTATTCTTCTCATTGTGGTCTACAGCTCGCGACAACGGATCATCGGTAAATCCAGTTCGTTCTGCATTTCCGTCATGAGTATTCTCTATCCTCTCTAAAGTAGTCCATATGCTTTCCGGAACGTCGTCTTCAGGTAATTTTGTGATATTTGCCTCATTTACTAAAAAATAAAGTAGGATGTGTTTTGAAACTTTATTTTCAAAAACTTGCTAGGAATTGCTCTATACATATGGTTATGACTTTTCAACCATGAAAGAGCTCGGCGAATCTTTTCTCGACTCACGCCGCAAATTTTACGTAACTGGACTCGATCTGGCGTGTGTGCACCGATGAAAATAATTTTCAACGTGTCAGATAGGTCATCCACATCCAACGGTAGACTTGTAACAATATTTGGCATGTTATGCATGAATGTAATCACATTGCCTTTGAGTGCAGTCTAGATATGCACCAAATCCAATTCCAATCAAATCCAAATCTGAGATTTGACTGGATTTGACAAGAATTGAATTTGGAGTTGAGTGGAGTTGATTAGAATTGGATTTGGATTTGATCAGATTTGATCAGATTTGACTGGATTTGACAAGAATTGAATTTGGAGTTGAGTGGAGTTGATTAGAATTGGATTTGGATTTGATCAGATTTGATCAGATTTGACCAGATTTGAACAGATTTATTGAAACTAGTCATGAATAAGACGAGTGCATTTGAAGTTAATGAGTTGTCACCTGTACTTGAGCGATACTGAGCAACATCGACTTATTTTATATGTATTAAGTAATTGGAAGACATGGGACAGATATCATTAATATACATTGTAGACTATTAATTCGTGTTTCCTAAGAGTTCAGTATTTACCAGGCATTGATGAACGATCTGATTGTATAGACCAACAGCAGGAGTTGTCACGTTTATCACATTCTATGTTGAAGAATAGAATCTTTCGCTCACATATAGGGAAAGTGGATAGGAAAACAGGTAGCGTTCTGAGGAGATCTATTACGAAATAAGATGCAGGACTACTAAGGATATCAATTTATTGAATTGGAGCCCTTTGATCGAATTCTGTTTGATGTGGTAGCCTATAGGATTTCATCTTGTACCATAGAAGAATCAAGGAAATGAAATGTTCAGCTGTTTAATAATCACTATTCTTTATTTCTGAGGTTTCAATTGAATGTATGCAGAAAATAGCTAAAGAGTAACACATGAATACAGTCACATCAATAAATTGAGAGAAATAAATGTAATAAATACAGCATTGACGTATAAGAATTTCTAACTTAAATATACAATAAAGATTAATAAAATATAAATAAATGTTAAATAAAGTAAATGAATAAACCACTGTTTTTAATTCTATAATAAACAAATTGATTTCTTTCTGCAATTGCAATGATAAAGATTATTGTTAAGTCGATGATGACGACGCTGTTCCTGATGACTTTTTTTTTTTGGAGTCAACGCTTTATTTAAATGCTAAACAACCAGTTTACAGGAAAGAAAGAAAAGAAAACAGACAGAACGAGAGGAGAGAAAGAAGAAACAACGGACAGACTGGTTGTAAAGCTGGCAGGAGAGAAAAGAGACGCATGACTGATGTCTTATGTCTCGTAGAGAAAAGAAAAATAAAAAAAAGAGATAGTTTGATGGATTGTGGTGTTGGTTGGGTTCGAACGCGAGGTGTTGGAGGGTATTGTAGTGGTAGTTATCTTCGAAGGGACGTCGACGTATATGTGCAGGAACGAGCCGATGTATACGTCGATGATCGTCTTTTCT